TTTTTATAATATAAAGCTAAATCTGTTTAGTAGAAATATAAATTTATAATTTAATCTATCACTATTTCAATAACATTCAATTCAGACTTTTATAATATTAATTAAAATTGTTTCATATTGATAATAATTTTTATATAATAATTTTAAATTTCTGACATCGATATTAATTATTTCAAATAAATTCTAATCATTAATTAACAATATTTATCAGTATAATTGATTAAATCATTTTTTAATGATTTTTAATAGTTAATCATTATTTATCAATTTATATAGTAATCGATTATATGTGACAGAGGGAATTTAAATCGATATATATCTTTTATAGATATATATCAATATATATCCTCTAATAAAATTTGGTGATGCATTGAAACTCCTTTTTGAGAAGAATTCATAGATGCTATTTACCTTTATATTAAAAAGATAAGCTTATTTTATATTAGTTCTAATTGACACAATTTGGCAAACAATTTATTTGATTCTGAATACAAAGTTAGATAGTAAAATTTAGCTATGATTCTTAAGGAAGCAACAAATATTATATTAGTTTCAGATAGATAGACAAATATTCAATAAGAATCTGTTATAAATTTCATCCTTTGTCTTCCTAAGCTAATCTTTTATAATATGAAGTATTCTGACTCAGAATCTCATATTATAGAATATATTTATAATGAGCTAAAAACTATAATAGAAAATATTAGTCCTTCTAAGTTTGTTAATATTATAACAGATAATACAAGTTCTATATGAGCAGCTTAGAAGTTGCTGAATAAAGAATACTCTTGATTTTTTTTTTTTTTTTTTTTAAACTTAAGTAATCTTGCTCTTCATTTTATTAAGAGAATTACATCACACGTAGTAAAGCAAATACAAAAAATTAAAAAGGAATAACTCTATTCTAATCTTAAGAAAAGAATACTTTTAATTTTTTTTTACAATTCAGCAGTTATGCCAAGACTTTATTTAGATTTGCTTTCCATTTGAAAACAATATTATCTAGTTATATACTATCTAATGACTAATTTTTTAAGCCCTGACTCACCCGGTTATCTCAAAGATACCTATGTGCGATTTGCTATAGTAATCTTTGTCCTATACTCAAGTAGCTAAAAAACAATAGACTACAAGAAAATATAAGAAGGATGCTACAGCCCAGAAAAGAATACTCTTAATTAATTTGTTTGAGCTATAATATATATATTAGAAATCTTCTAATTAAAGACATACTTAAACTTGATTAAATTGAGAAATTAATCAATTATGTAAAATAGATTATTAATTTTTTTTTGAGGATATTATATTAAAAAATTAATTTTACTGAGCTAGCCAAATATAATTACCTTAATTCAACCTGTTGACACATATTAAGGAACTTGTTTAGATCAATTTGATATAAATTAGAAATTCAAATAACTATTATATACCCTGAAATTAGTAAAAAAATATCATAGGATCTTAAAGAACAAATACTAAATAATTTATTATAGAAAAAGCTAGAAAATTAGCTTCTTTTCTGATACCTTTTGTTAGGCTTATATATTTATTTGAATCAGATAACCTTTGCTTTTATATACCTATTCCGAATAGCAAATATTTTAAGAAATGGTTAACTTATATGACTTGAATTTGAAATTTAAACTTAAAGTTTTTGAATTAATTAACAAACAGTTTAATTTTATATTTTATCCTATAATAGCAATTACGAACCTTTTGGATTCTCAGTAAATTTTTAAAATTTTAATATCAATATACAATATAATATAATATATTAAAATTTAAATTAGAATTCATGAAAAATCATTAAAACCAAATGATCTTAAAAATATTATTGTTTTATATGTTGAAAAAATTTATTTATATGAGATTGTAGTATGTGTAAATATTATATATTTATTAAATTATTAATTTTAAAAATTTTTTATTTATAAAAAGATTTATTTATACAAAAAATTCTTTACTTATATTAAAAAATTTTTAGAATAATACAAAAATATATCACCAAATCTGACAAATTTTTTGAACTTATTTATCAAGTTCTTTCTGTTCCAGCTTCTTCAGCTACTGCAAAACAATAATAGTTTAACTGTAGTTTTATTCATAATAAATATTATACACATTTGGATAATAATCAGGTTAAAAAACTTGTTGCAGTTTATTAAAATTTGAGGATTCAAAAAGAAATTGAAAATGACAGTTAGTTTGAAGATGATATTAATTTATAATCATGTATTTAAATAATAGAAAAAATGAGTATTAATAAAAAAAACAATATATATAGTCAAATCATCAACAATTTTATATTAGATATAATTATAAATATATTTCAAAAATAATATAATAAAACTTATCTGTAAGAACGAACATTGCCTCAATTTAAGAATATCAAGAAATCTGACTAATACAAAAATTAACTAATCAAATACAAAAATTTCAATTCTAGCCTCAACCACTGATGTTTTAAAATGTTTTTTAAAATATTATAAAAAACATAAAAAACTGTTTAAAATATTTTTTTTCTATCCTTATATTCAATATCCAAGTATTCAAAATATTCAAACTATCTATAGTTTTAAATATTTTAGTAATAGAAATAAAAATTATAATTATATTCTGAAAATAACTAAAATTAAGATTAGCAATACTCTTATATTCTTTATTTAATTCTAAACATTTTTACTTAAAAGATTTAAATAGGTTATTTTAATAAATTTTTGAGTAAATTCATTTTATTTTTTTGTTCAAAATGTCTAAAATCTTATCCAAAAGCTGTCCACGTATATCACTGCCTTATTCTACAGTATAATTTGGTATGGCCCAATAAAAAACGAATAAACTTGTCTTCTAAGTGAAGTTCTCTAGGAGTCTGATCTTTTTTAGGTTCTTTTGCACAGTCAGATTTTTTAGTTAACCGGCAATTGATCTACACTAGCCAATCAGACAAACTTCTGCCTATGAATACAGGGGTAGTTAGAATTTCGACATTTCGGGATAGCTAGGGTACTATAATTTCGAAATTTTCGTTTTTTTTTTTTTTTTTATTGAAGTCATGTTTCTTTACAACCTAACTTTACAACCTCCGACCACAATTAATGTTGCCGTGGTTGGTCACTTTTCAGGAACAAAACAACAAGAGATTGTTGTTTCCAGAGTAACACGCCTAGAATTTCTTAGGGCAGATCCAAATTCGGGCAAATTACAAACACTTCTAACACATGACGTTTTTGGAATAATTAGATCATTGACGCCTTTTCGATTGACTGGAGGCTCAAAAGGTGCGAAGATCTACCGTCACAACATAGAGCTTTACTTTGGGGCATTCAAGCTACCTTAAGGGTATACTCGAATTTTTATGTCGAACAATAATATTAACTTATCAGATCGTTCATTTTCCATGTATTATCCAATATAATTCAACAGACTACATTATAGTCGGATCAGATTCGGGTCGTATAGTCATTCTAGAATATAATCCAGCGAAGAATAAGTTTGATAAAATTCATCAAGAGACATTCGGGAAATCAGGATGTCGACGAATTGTACCTGGACAATACTTAGCTGTAGATCCAAAGGGGAGATCTGTTATGATCGGTATGTGTGTGTGTTGTTTAGCTTACTAAAGCCTATTTAATTAATCACGCGTATTTTTTGCCCATTTCACAGGTGCAATTGAAAAACAAAAACTTGTTTACATTCTTAACCGTGATTCTGCAGCCAATTTGACTATATCTTCCCCACTAGAGGCTCATAAATCGCACACTTTGGTACACCATTGCATAGGTCTGGATGTTGGTTTTGACAATCCGGTCTTTGCTTGTTTGGAGGTTGACTATTCAGAAGCTGATCTCGATCACACTGGTGAAGCATTTAATAGTACAGAAAAGGTAAAACGCTGCATATTGTATTATGGTCATTATATTTAATTTTATATATAATGAAAATTTTACATTTATGTTATTCTATTTTTTTAGATGTTAACATATTACGAATTAGATCTTGGTCTAAATCATGTTGTAAGAAAATGGAATGATCCAGTTGATGCGCGAGCCAACATGTTATTTGCTGGTAAATTAATATTCACAAAATTCACCTTATTTCTAGTAGACTTTATTTAATAATTCTTATTTAATATAATAGTTCCTGGTGGTAATGATGGTCCTTCCGGTGTACTAGTTTGTTCTGAAAATTTTATAACGTATAAGCATCAACATGCACCTGAACTTCGCGTGCCAATTCCACGCCGCAAAAATCCGCTCGAAGATCCTTCACGTGGACTCATAATTGTCGCAGGTGTTATGCACAAAATGAAAGGAGTTTTCTTTTTTTTACTACAAAGCGAGGAAGGTGATATATATAAAGTCACCCTTGATTACGAGGATGATAAGGTGAAGGCAATTAAAATTAAGTATTTTGACACCGTGCCCATCGCTGCATCATTATGCATACTCAGAGCTGGTTTTCTGTTTGTAGCTGCGGAATTCGGGAATCAGTATGTTGTTTTGTTACACCATAGTGTGTTTCAAGATGTTTCTCAATCTCTAACTGTTGCTTTTTGCTTTTCTATAGCCGGTTATATTCATTTACAAGCCTTGGTGATGATAATGATGAACCAGAATGGTCCAGTGAAAATTTTATGGACACTGATTTAAATCATCCAGCATTAGCATACTTTACTCCCAGAGATCTACAAAATTTGGAACGTGCTGATGAATTGGAAAGCTTAAATCCATTAATTGATGCCAAAGTACCATTTTCAAGTTTTACTCACATATAATTAATATACAATTTAATTGATATTTTTATTTGTATCAATTTAGGTTTTAAATCTTACAGATGACGATACACCACAGTTGTACACTTTGTGCGGAAGAGGTGCCGGTTCAACTTTCCGGATATTAAGGCACGGGCTAGAAATATCTGAGATGGCGGTTTCTGAATTACCTGGTAATCCTAATGCCGTTTGGACTACTAAGCTTAGATCCGATGGTGCGTTAAATGCAAATTTCAGATCAATATTAACTTAATAAATATATTATTGAAAGATATTAATTCAATCAGCTTTTTGCAGATGAATTTGATGCTTATATCATTGTATCATTTGTGAATGCGACGTTGGTGTTATCTATCGGGGAAACTGTTGAAGAAGTAACTGATACTGGTTTTCTTGCCACAACACCCACTTTGGATGTTCATCAACTAGGTGACGATGCATTACTCCAGGTTAGCTATGAAGAATCAGTTTCTATTTTTTATATTACAATAATTTAACATTGAGTTTATATAATAAGATATATCCCCAAGGATTGAGGCATATTCGTGCCGATCGACGCGTAAATGAATGGAAAACACCTGGTAACAGGGCTATAGTGAAAGCTACAACGAATAAGCGTCAAGTTGTCATAGCATTAACAGGCGGTGAGCTTGTGTATTTTGAGTTAGATAATCAAGGACAGTTGAATGAGTATCAAGAACGCAAGGAAATGACAGCAAACGTACACTGTTTGAGTATCGGGGAAGTTCCAGAAGGGAGACAACGGTCAAGATTTTTGGTAAGCTTATTTATGATTCTGGACTGTCAACAGTTCAATAAGTAACTGGTTATTGTATACCATAATAAAGGCTGTGGGTTGTGATGACAACGCCGTCAGGATCCTTTCTCTTGATCCTGACAATACTTTAGAAGTTCTCAGTACACAGGTGAGTTTCAGTAACCTTCCGGCTTCTTTCGTGTTATTAATTATTTACATATGAACTATTAATTACTACAGGGTCTAAGCGCGCCTCCACAATCTTTATCCATCATTGAGATGATGGATATTGGTACTGACGCTTCACATGGAACACTATACCTCAATATAGGATTACAAAATGGTGTGTTATTACGAACAGTATTAGATACGATAACCGGTGCATTGACCGATACGAGACAAAGGTACTTTACTTAGTAATGTTTTTATTGCAAATGTCAATCGGATAGAAATTTATAACTAGTTTGTTTAATCGTAGATTTCTCGGTGCTCGACCAGTAAAACTTTTTCAAGTCAAAATTCAGGGATCTCCCGCAGTTTTAGCGCTGTCAAGTCGGCCTTGGTTGAGTTATACTTTTCAATCCAGGTTACATCTTACGCCACTTTCATATGACATGCTTGAATACGGATCCAACTTTACATCTCCACAAGTTCCAGAAGGAATCGTGGCAATTTCTTCTAACACTTTGAGAATCTTTGCCGTGGAAAAGCTAGGGACAGTATTTAATCAAGCAACAATACAACTTAAATACACACCACGTCACTTTATTCTTCATCCATCTTCGAGAAATTTTGTTGTAATAGAGAGCGAACATAATACATTTTCCCCAGCAGAGAAAGAAAAGACACTGGAAGCCAAATTAAAAAATGGATTTCAATTTGATCCCAGTGTGTTGGAATTATCCCCAGAGACATTTGGCTTGCCCAAGGCGGAGCACGGAAAATGGGCATCATGCATTCGTGTTATAAATCCATTCCAAGGTGAAACAATGTCATTAGTCGAACTTGAAGATAATGAGGCTGCGTTTAGGTGTATATATTTGGTATATACTTCCTTATATATGTGAGTATACTAATAGATTTTTTATTTAAGTATTGCTACAGTAAACTTTCATGGGCAGAACAATGAACTATACCTTGTTGTTGGCACCGCAAAGGATGCAAATTTGGCACCACGAACATGTTCTGCGGGGTATTTGCATGTATATCAATTTATAGATGAAGGAAACGCTTTAAAACTTGTACATAAGGTAAATTCTGTAAATATATTTTTTAATGCGTTGTTATGATTGATTTAACTAATCACCTTTATTTGGCATTTATTTTTGTAGACACAATGTGATGATATTCCTTTAGCGCTGTTAGGATTCCAGGGGAGACTTGTTGCGGGCGTTGGTAAAGCACTGAGAATATACGATATGGGTAAAAGGAAATTGCTACGGAAATGCGAGTCAAAGGTTTGCTATTTTTCCTTATAAATTGGTTGATCATTATGCTTTACGATTAATACATATTTATATGCAGGCGATTCCAAATTGTATTGTTAATTTGCATACACAAGGAAATCGCATTATTGTATGTGATATGCAAGAATCAGTACATTATGCATCATACAGACCACACGATAATCGTATCATTATTTTCGCTGATGATACCACTCCGAGATGGATAACAACCACTACAATGATAGATTATGATACACTTGCTGGTGGTGATAAGTTTGGAGATTTCTTTGTTGATCGGTTGCCGGCCGAAACAAGTGAAGAAGTAGATGAAGATCCTACTGGAAATAAAATAATGTATGAAAAAGGATATTTAATGGGTGCTCCACATAAAGTATGTACATATATATATAATTACCCATTATTTTTTAGATAAATTTAGACGATTAAAGGTCCAAACATTGCATTTTAATTGGTCTTTGCACACATGTTTTATTTTATCACAGACAGATATGCATGTGTGCTATTGTTTATGATGTCTTTCGAACAATCAATATGTTAATATAAATATATATATATTTTTTTTTACAGGTTTCCATGATTGTACATTATCATGTAGGGGACATTATTACATCACTTCATCGAACAACACTTGTTGCTGGCGGACGTGAAATTCTAACTTATACTGGTATTATGGGTAGTATTGGAGTATTTGTCCCATTTTTGACAAGGGAAGATATTGAATTTTTCCAAACCCTTGAAATGCATATGAGAAACGAAGCCCCGCCTTTGGCGGGACGTGATCACCTTCAATATCGCAGTTTTTATGCACCAGTAAAAAGTATGGTTGACGGTGACTTGTGTGAACAATACAATTTATTACCAATGGATAAAAAAAAAATGATTGCTGAAGAATTGGACCGTACTCCTGCAGAAATACAAAAGAAAATTGAAGACATGAGAGTGATGGCAGCGTTCTAATATTCAAATTTATCATTATTATACATATCCATACTGAAATTGTTTAAAATTATAATATAAAAATTTATTATTCTTTGTTTGAATATAAATTTTATTAATAAATAGAAAATTTTATTTGCATTTATATATTAGTATACTTTTTTTAATAATTATAAATTATGTAAATATAAGCTAATTTTAACGTTACTATAAACAATTTTATAATACAGTATATGAAAGTTAACAGAATTCAAACAAATTGTTTTTTTTAAGGTCGCCTTTTTGGCTACCGGATTTTATTTAACGGAGTGTTACAAGAATATCTATTGTTTTGAGATTATATAATGTAACTAGCTACACATAATTTTAATTATTGTTTGTTTCATACTAAGCTGCTATACCTGTGATTTATCTACTATAGTCATCGTTAAGTTTTTCACTGCTGCCAATATGTTATATCTCAACTTGAATCAGGATTATTCGAACTGGAACAAAGATTAATTTGTAAACTGTGTTATACTACTTTTTATCGAAGATTAGACTATGATGACCTACAAAAAATATATTTTTATCAACAAAATGAAGGCAGAAAAACTTTTGTAAACTGTAAAGTTTGTAGAAAAGAAGAATTTAGATCACAGAAAATAGTAGTATTCAAAATCTATGATTCTGTAATTTAAAACATATGTATGTTTACAAAGCATATATTGATATCTTCTATAATCACAATTATAATTTTTGAATTAAAATTAAACATTATACTGAATTTATATGATATGTTAGAAGTATATATAATTTTAATTAAACTCTTATATTTAGACTAGCTAAAGTCTTGTTTAAGGAAAATAATCTTATTATTTAAGAAATTTTTGAACCACAAATCTATGATTAGAGAATCATAAATTACCAATGAATAAATTATCATTCTTACTAAGAGCAGAAAGAAACTTGTTTTATAATAATAAAAAAATAATCTTATAACAAACTAGAAGATTTTATAAATTTTAGTTACTTTAACTTTAATATATAGGTTGCTATTGCTAATTTAAAAAGAAGTTTTACTATTGAATAGAACTGACTTAGTTATTCATTAAATATATACAAAGAATATACTTTTAATACAATAAATGAGTAAAAATTTATCAAACAAAAAATCTAAAAAATGATAAAAAATAAACAGATACGAATTTCAGAAAGTTTTTAGATCTTATTAGTAGTACTTGTTAAAAGAAATAATAGTAAATTATAATTTTGTATAGACTATTAGAAATTTAATAGTATTATTAAAAAGGATGCACAGATCTGGTGATTTTAGTGTAGTGATTAAGTTGTAAGACCATTATGCAAGAGGTCTGGGGTTCAAATCTCACTGTTAATAAATTTGAATAATTATTCAGACCTTTGTACCTAATTTATAGTAAACCTTGTCTGTTTCTAGGATTGTAATGCTATAAATTATATTGTACCAATATCATCTAAATATTAGAAGTGTGATGAGGTATTCAGTGAGATATAACATTACATGAATAAATCTTGATAAGATCTATGAGTAGGGAACTTGCATAGTAGAAATTCTGAGTTGGTGAAGTAATATTATTTTCGATAGTCATATTAGTTAACATTTGATCCAGAAAGAAAACTATTATCAAAAGATGCAGATTAAGTCAGATGCATATAAATCTGTTCTACAGAGAGAATTAGTAATACAAACTTAGCTTGGCAGCTAACTGGATTAAAAGGATCTGCTTTATAAAATATCTGAGAAGATAGAATACAAAAAACTAGTAGAAAGCTATAGCAGGAACTGGGGTTGTATGAATATCTACAAGAGTCTAAGCTAGATGAATTTATAAAATAGGTATGGACTACTCTAGTAGATATGCTTTGAGATTAACTAGCTCTGCAATATCTACAATATATTAGATATAATATATTCTGAGAGAACCTAAGCTATTCTGAATAAATAGATCTGTAATGAGCTAGCTAGTTTAAGTAGTTAGGTGTTGTAGTGACATTAGATTGGATCTGTATGAGTTAATAAACTGAGTGTTTAAATAAATAACTTATAGGTAGGTTACAGATATAGTAGCATAGTGTAGAATTAATCAGGTAGTCTAATTACCTGTGTGGCAAACTACTTAAAATAGACAATGACTAAAGTTGTACGTATAGCTTGTTGTACATTCTTCAAGTAATTACAAATAGTAGGAATTATTAATGAATATCTTGTATGCAATTCTAATAAAATTCCTTCAGCAATATAAGCTACCTTAATAATAATAAAAAAAATTAAAAAGGATACATACTCTCTACTAAGAATATATAAAATATTAAATATCTTAGCAAGATCTAAATAGTTTTTAACTTTAAACCTTACTAGTAGATATTAGTAAGTATAATTATATTTAGATAATAGAGAAAAGACTATTTTTACAACTTAATATAGTATATATAAGTAATATTATACTCTTTGAACTATACAATACTTTTGCAATATTTCAATGATTAATAGATCAAGTATATAAAAATATTATATAGAAATTTGTTATTATTTATCTTGATGATATAATAATATATTTATAAATATTTAATAATTATTTAAAATATCTAAAAGAAATATTTTTATAAATTAGAAAAGTAAAATTAAGACTAAATTTAAAAAAATATCAGTTTTGAATGTAATAATTATCTTTTTTTATACAAATAATAATCCTACAAAAAAATAAAACTAGATCTTAGAAAAGTTGAAGCAATTAAGAAGTTAATACTATTAAAGAATATATTTTAGCTATACTTATTCTTAAGACTTATTAAATATTATAGAAAGTTTATTTAAACTTTTCTGAAATTGTTTAACTATTAAATAAGTTATTAAAAAAAAATAAAAAATCTATATATAAAAGATATAGATCAAGTAGATATAAGTAAGTTCATTGTATTGTTATCAAATGAACTTTAGTATATTTTCTTAATTATTTATTATTATATTATATTTGATATTTAGATTTATATA